CTTCTGTTGACATTTTGGAAAATGCGATTGTTTTGATAAGGAATAATAGACCATTGAAGACTAACGATCAAGAATGTTTGTTTTGTTGGATATTAATTTTGAGAAGAATTATGTATCAGAAATGCTTTTCCAGTTACCGTATCGAAACGTGAAAACAAGCGTTTTTATTATTTGCACAGGTTGAATGATATGATAAAAATATATGAAAATGTTTTTATTAAAAAAATGTTTTTGTATTTGAGAGCGAAAGATCAGCTAAAAAGGCTTAACAGCAGACAAATGTCAATGTTTGACCTAAAATCAACGATATAAATATCCCACAGCAATAGTGGCATTCTACTGATATCGACATCGATCACGTTTGTTTGACACCGATCACGTTTGTTCGACACCGATCACGTTTGTTCGTGTCGTTACGATCCAGATTAAGTGGTTTATTCACAAGTAGACTTAGACTTTAGAATCATTAATTCTAAATAATTTGTCAATCACCCACTCACTCACAGTGATATCTGCGAATATTAGAAATGTATCGTATTCGGATGATAATTTTAGTACCTTTGAAAGCGCTCATTGATATTTCAGAATGAAAAATCAAACAATTACCGCCATATTTGTTCTAGTTGCAAGTGCTCAATTCATCTCAATACTTGGACAAATGTATGCAAAAAAGAAAGAAACTAATATTTTAGAAAAAATCAAATAGCCTTAGATAACGCTTTATTATCAATGTTTGACCATCGTAGTGATAATTTTCTTTGGTAGATCGTCAAACTTAAGCTTTTCTATCTTTCGTCATTAACAAACTTTTCAGTTCGTTAACGGAACGTGCGCAGTTAGACTTTGCGGTAAGTTTACTGCAAAACGTTGCGCAAAGCGACAAATCATCCGTTCTGTCACCATTTTCGGTTTCAACTTCACTTTTTATTGCTTATCTTGCAGCGGACGGTGAAACGAAGCAGCAACTGCAGAAGTGCCCTTGGAAAAGGTAATTATAACTTGAAATGTGCAAATTCGAAAATTTTACTTTTTTGTCTAGACAACCACTGAGAATACTATTCCGCCATGACATTTTACCTGTCGTCAAAGCCAAGCCAAGAATGTTATCAGTAAAGAAATGATAAAATAATTTCAGATGCTAGCATACCTGAATTCCGACTTCATTTTATCAAACAATTGGCTTATATCGCAAGAGCAGGAAACAGAAATTACACGTTAACTGTAGCAAATCGTCTTTACGTACGAGAGGGACTCAGTGTAAAAGAGAGTTTCCAAAGAGTGCTCGGTTTCTATTACAGCGACTTATTGCATAAATTTAGTTTTGGACAAAGAAATAGACTTGTTCAGGTATAATCTATGATAATAAGCAAAGATGAAATAAAGAGAGAAAGGTGGAGGGAAAAGGGATCAAATCGTTATTTTATTTTTTAAAATTTATCATTTAGTAAAATTTCGTTAAATTTATCATTTAGTAAAATTACTTTTCAGCAAATCAATAATTGGATTTCGAGTGAGACAAACAATAAAGTTAGAAATATTATAACAACGCGTAGTATCACCGAAAATACCAGAATGTTACTTATGAATGCAATTCATTTCAAAGGCACCTGGACAGTACAATTCGTTGATTTTGCAACTAAACAAAAGCAATTTCACATTTCTGAAAATGAAGTGAAACTGGTAATTATGAATGCATAATTAGATTAATTGTTTTAAAATGATGGCACACTGAATAAGTTCATTTCTTGTCGGTTCAGGTACCAATGATGGTAAAATCGGATACAGTTCCGTATTACGAAGATGATGCTGTGAAAGTTATCAAATTACCTTACATTGGTGATGAAGTAGAGATGGTTATCATATTGCCAAGAAGACGTTTCGGCTTATCCGATGTACTGGGAAATTTGTCAGGCGAAAAGCTATTTAAATACGTCAATGAAGCAACGAACCGAAGTGTTTCCGTAAGTTACCTGTCCATTTCTAATTAAAGATTTTTTTTTTTTTTTGAAAGGTAGAAAAGAGAAACAAAATTTTGGAAGGTAAAAAGAGGAATTTAAGTGGAATAATTCTGTTACCATTTCTGTTTCGTACCGAATTGATGTTTTTTCCCTTTCTAAATTAGCATGGAAGAGAGAATTTAGTCGATATAACTTTATTTTTAATTTTAGATTAAATTGCCAAGATTCAAAGTGGAAGAAAAACGAAATTTGAATAGTGCTCTGCAGGCAATTGGCATCACAGATGCTTTCAGCGGAAATGCTAATTTCGAAGAACTTTTTAATAACTCACTTCCAATTTCTATTGGCAAAATTATTCATGCAGGTTTCATTGAGGTTTGTGTAAACTTTCTTTGCTTCATTATTGGAAATTTTTTAATGACTTAATTAATTACTTACAGGTAAATGAGAAAGGGACAGAATCAGCTGCTGCAACAATGATTGAATTAGAGGATCGCATGAGTTCATCGAAAAATTTCAACGCTGATCAACCATTCCTCTTTGCAATTGTTAAAGACTTAAAGACAGTTTTGTTCTTAGGACAATATGTCAAATAGTCGAATGATCCTTTGTACTTTTCGTCATTTTTGTTGCTATGCATATGCATATGATAAATTTTTAGGCATATTCAATGTTATATTTAAGTCTTACATTCACATCGTCAATATTGGTTGTCACTTTGAATTATACGTAAGCTAAGGTAAAGGTAAACTTAAGTAAGCTTTGATCATTTTACAAATACGTAAGTTTGACGGAATCTATTACACAATAGTTCAAAATTCTTTTCACGTCATTTTTTTTTTTTTGACAGTAGAAAATGTGCATAATTAATTGATGAAAAAATTCAGTTATTGTCAACTTATTCAATCCGGAATACTGTCACCGTGACTGTGACAACCCAACGTTGACAAGATTCTAGACTACGTGTCTTATCAACATTATCATTCGATCACTTCACGACTAACTGTTGACTATCACTTCTTCATATGAGAAATTTGTGGTTCTAAACACCTAAAAGGAGCTATTTGTATTCCTCTGAAATATATGAATTCAAATTCTTACATAATCACTGATTAAAAATATGAGATCAATCGATAATGCCATATGCTAGCATTGAGTGAAGCCAAAAAATGAAATCGTTGTATGTGCCAAAAAATTGAAATACTTAGATTATCATGTTAAAGTAATCGTAATAATTTTGTATTAAATCCATAAGATAGAAATTTGTAGACTAATTTGTAGACCAAAGATTTTTTTTTTCTTATCTAAATATTCATTCCATGGGCAAATATAAAACTATTTTAGTTTCATAGCTTAGTTGAATGAAATTATTTATCCAACATACATCCATCTTCCAATTCTTGCTTAATATTTTTTAAATAAATTGCTTCCAATTTTATTATCTAAAAACCAAACTTAAATTTAATGGTTAAAATGATTGTAAGACTTTTGTTCAATTAACTCGCATTGTTATAAGTCAAATTATAATTACAATATCAAAATATTGTTGAGATCATCCATTTTGCAGTTATTACCACAAATAATTGATCCAACACTATAAAGCAATTCTCTGTATCAATCAAAAGTGAAATCATTTCTTTTTTAATTTTATTTTTTTTTCAAATTACTATAATTATGCGCTTTGTTTGTAGACCAACGCCGACTATATAAAGAATTAAAATCATTGTTTGCAGTTAATTTTTTCGATAAAGCAAAATTCGATTTTCGGATTGTCGCAGCGTCACTCAGTTCATTTTCAACAAACGATGGCATAGCAACAGCAATGACAATAATGGAAGGAAAGAATGACAATTAGAAAGCAAAAAATGCGACAATTGCGCCCAGTGGGCTGTTTGATTTAATATTTAATTTGTTCATTCAATCCGTTGCTATTAAGCGTAATATTGTATGATATCATACAACAACAATAAAGCTATTATTGACATGCAACAACAATAAGCTATTATTGACATGCAACAACAATAAAGCTATTATTGACATTGTAGAATTACAACAACAAAAAAATGCTAATAAATCTTCCTTCATAATTTAGTTATTACTTGTAATTGAATAGCTATTTGATTTCCAATTATCAATGATTTTCAAGTTTTATCAATAATAATTTATGACTAGAGATATTTTAACTATATCTTATTCATTGAATTATTTTTAATTCATTTAAATAAAATTCGCACACTCATTTTGTTAGACATTATTAACCTTCTTCATGTTTTATGCTTTATTACAAAATTCTACTTTTGCTTCAAAACCTTTTTTAATTTTAATTTATCGAAACTGATCTATTTTAAATAAAAAATCTATTTAAACTATTTAAACAATGCTAACCTATTTTGATAATCCTTCCAAATTTGTTTACGTTTCCATTCTTATTCCTATTTATCCATTAATCTGTCTACATACGTTGACACTTCTTGTACTCACATGTTTCACTTCACGTGTTGACGTTCTGTTCACGTTGGCATAAATTACAAACTCTTATTTACGCTTAACAATGATCGGTGCTTCTATGTTTTTAATACCAAAGACATTTGCTCTCATCTCTTTTACGTCTTTTTAAGTATTTATAAAGTTTAGAATCGTTTAGATAACACTTAATTTCCTGAATTTTTTTTTAAAGCGTATTACGCTGTCAATTTAAAATATAACTTTCAAATTTGCTACTTTTAAACTTTTAAATATTCACAATTCTAAATATTTTTGAGCATACATTTCAGTTCTTTCTTTTCGCAAAATTTATTTTTCATTTTGATACATTTTTGAGCATATAAATCAGTTAATATTGGCTATAAAAAAATATGAAAAAAATATACAAAAATATTGGAAAAAAAATTTATACACAAACCAAATTAGCAGAAATTAAGGAGAAATCAATTGTTCAATATTTTTAATATTGAATTTTAAACTTTAAATGAACTCTGAATTATTTACAAAATTTAACTTTCTCTCTCTTAACAATTTGTCATACTGATCAAAATTCATTCATCATTTTGTTGTCAACTTATTCCTGTGTCGTTGAACATTTTCAGATTGTTGTTGAAATTGAAATGCTTTCAAATATGCAAATTTTGCCTTCTCAAATTTATTCCAACGATGATAAAGTGTACCTTAAATAATTCTATGTTACTGCAGAATGTAAAAAAAAAAAGTGAAAAACTCTACATAAGATAGTAAAAAAAAAGCAAAAAAAACGATATTTTTATAAGATAAAATATTAAAAAGTAAATAAAAAAAATAAGCAAAGTATTTTTATAAAAAGTAAATTTTTCTTTTCAAAAATATCAAAACTCTCTCATAACAATCAATAATTAGCATAACTCAGATATTATACTAACTATTAAATTGTCATTTTCATCAGCAAAAGCGAGACTCCAACCAGCCGGATTCGAACCAGCGACCTAAGGATTACTGTGATGTCACACGCTACAGTCCTCCGCTCTACCAACTGAGCTATGGTTGGTGTGTCTTCGAGACAGAAACTTTTGTTTACAAATAATTAGCAAATAATTTACCGATATTTTTCCAATAAGTTATTGTTGTTGGTTCTAATTCTACAGCTGATAACAGGAACTTTTCGGCACTGTCATACTGTCCAAGTTTACCATAACAAGTGCCTAGCTGAGAAAGGATTGATGCATCCTTGCTATGATATTTAAGCACCTTATCAGCTAGGCTAATTACTTCCGCACAATTATTTGTCTCATCAAGTAATACCAACAAATTCAACCAGGCTTGTTTGTGACTAGGATTTGCTCTAAAACAAAATAATTCAAATTATGGTACTAATTAAAATATAATAATATTTTAAAGTACATTAGGCATAACAAAATTTAAATTTGCATATACGATGAATATACAAAATGAACAATAAGCGTAATTTTAATTTTGATTAAAAATTTAATAAAAAAAGAAAGAAAGAAAAGAAAAAAATATAAACGAATGTACTAAGGCATGCAGAGTTACGAATAGTGCTTTTAATTTTAGACTTATATAAAAAAATTTGGAACTAAAATGCTATTTGATTATTTGAAAATATAAATTTCCATTTTCTCGTCTTTAGGAAAATTCAATTACTTATTATTTTTCCTGCTAAAAAAAAGTGACATTCCTCTCGAGAATGCTACTTTTTATTCTATCACCTGGTAATATTTTGCCAAATTTCCCTTGCATAGGTTTTTTGATTTTGTTGCAAATAAAGTAAGCCCATGTTGTATAAACAATCCGGATACGGAAAACGTAAACTGAGTGCTTGTTCGAAACTATTTTCCGCATCCTGAATGTAATTTTAAAAAATTTCCTCTAATTATTTTGCTAGTAAAATTGTAAAAAATTTTTTAGATAGTATTATTCAATATATTATTTAATAATCCAACTATATTGCTGTGAAAAAAGTATCTTTCATTTTCATTTTTCCTTTCCTAAATCAAAGTCTTATCACTAATTAAAATTTTTTTTATTAATTTCAGAAAAAATTTATGCCATATTAACTATTATTTATTAATATGAGCCCAAATTTAGGTATCAAAAATGAAATGACTAACTTTATATCGTTTCTGGGCCAATTGCGCAAGTCCAAGATTCATCCATGCAGCTGCAAAATTTGGCCTTATTTTGATGGCTTTACGAAGGAGTTGTTCAGCTTCCAAATTTCGATCATATTTAAGATAAATATTTGCTAAATTATTCATTGCATTTTCGTAGGTGGGATTTAACCTAAAACTAGACTGTAATTAAAATTATTTTAATTAACAAGAACAAAGCTTAATAAAAAAAAAAAAAGAAGTTAGGCAAAAATTTTAAAAAAGAAAAGAAGATACTTTAGCATATTATATATGATAGTGATATTTACTCAAACAATAACAGTGCAAACAATGCAATTGTTATTGTTTAAGCAAATTAATTTAACATAAACATGCAAGTATAAATAGCATAATTACAATACAAAACCGCAGCATTAAAAAAAAAGCCATTTGTTATTTGTAAAAAAGAAAATATAAAAAGATTATACAAGAAAAAAATTTTTTAATTTAATCCTTAAAAATTGGAAAAAAAAGTAAATTTTAAAGATTAATTTTAATTAATTTTAGCCTATCATTTTCAAATGTTTAATTTCAATTTAAAATTTTCATTAGCATATTCATTTTTCAATTAATTAACGATAATTGTAATTTGTCATTGCCATTATTATAACTTTCAGTATTTACTAATTATAAGATATACCTTATTGCATTTGCATAATTAACAGTTGCACGACTGATATCACCGTTATCAGCCATAATTTTTGCTATATTATAATGAATTTTTGCATTATTTGGACAAACTTTTAAGCCACTTTTGTATAAATCTAATTCATTTCTCCATTCCAAACTACGCTGAAAACTTTTTTTATTTTTTTCATTGACAGTCAAAACTTATATAAAAGTATAAATTTGACTAGAAATCATTTAACATTTGTTAAATGATTTTCAAAAATACATTATGCATAGTGGCTGAAATGAAAATTGAATTATAAGTGATACTAATTAGAAGAAAATAATACTTATCATTGTATATTATTTATTTTTTCAACATCTTTCAAAAAAATTTTATGTTATTACTCGAATTGTTATTACTATTATTGTCATTAATGCTGTTTATTTATTTATTTATTTATAGAATCATTATTACTGTTATTATTACTGTCGTGTTATTTATTTATAGAATTATTATTATTATTGTTATTCTTACTATCGTATTATTTATTTATAAAATTATTGTTATTATTATTAACGCATTATTTATCTAAAGATTTATTATTACTACCGTATTATTATTTATTTATTTATAGAAATATTTTTACCATTGTTATTATTACTACCGTATTATTTATTTATTTATAGAAATATTATTACCACTGTTATTATTACTACCGTATTATTTATTTATTTATAGAATTATTATTACTACTGTTATTATTACTACCGTATTATTTATTTATTTATAGAATTATTATTACTACTGTTATTATTACTACCGTATTATTTATTTATTTATAGAAATATTATTACTACCATATTATTTATTTATTATTATTGCTACTATTATTATTAATTGTTATTAATCGTTATTATCTTACCTTGTATGATTTGATAAAAAACATAATAAAAATTATTGTTGTGACACTTTTTAGGATATTTGCGCTTTTATTTCTTATCATAACTTCTTCCGTTTTTTCATATGCGCAAACGGTAATTAAGCAGAAGGCAACTGATGGCAAATAAAGCACTCTTTCAGCAAGCACAAATCCAACGGTAACAAAAATATTGCTAGCAGGTAGAAATGTTATAATATAAAAAACGATTGAAAATATTCGAAGTCTAAAAAATAAATTCAAAAATTAAACTTTTTAATCAAATTTATAATCAACTAAATTACAAAAATAAATTAATATTTGTTAGAATTTCTTTAAAAAAATTTAATTCTCATATCATAATTTATTGAAATGCATACATATTTATTATGAAAGTAGGAAAGGAATATTTTTTTTTAAAAAATATCATTGTATTTTGACCAAAAAAAAAAAAATTAACACTTAAATTATACGTTAAATTAGATGAAAAGTTAATCAAAGTGTAAAATTTAGTGGAAAAAATTAAATTTCATACAATTTAAAGTTTTATAATCAATAAAACTCTTTTTGACAATAGCAATAGAAATTGAGAATTTTAAGCATTTTATTGAATTAGTCATAATTTAATTACAGTTATAATTTGATTGAAAAAAAAAATAATGAAATTTATACTGCTTCTCAAAATATCCTCGAATTAATTGAATGATAAATATGATAACACCAATGATAAATATTGTTGAAATCAAAAAACGATGATCATTGATAGATTCGATCAGTGTCACACAGCCCATCGAATAATCAAAACATAAATGAAATGGATAAAGTTGTAACCAAATGTAAAGCATATAAATGTAGCAATAATTAATCAACTGAAATAAAATTGAACTGTTTTTTTTTCATAATTAATATACAAAATAATTAAATAAACTAATAAATGATTTAATTAATTAAGCAAAAAAATAAATTAGCAAATAATCAGTTAATTAATTAATTAAACGAGCGAATTGAATAAATTGATTACTTATTTATTTTTTTAGAGGCACAAATTAAAAATGTGTCGAAAATTTAAATTAGAAACGAGATTTTAATTCATTTAATTAAATCAAATAAATAAATAGCTAAAATAAGCAATGTTTATGAAAAACTCTCCAATTAAGTCTCAATTATCAAAATTGCTTTTCTACTCTAAAATTTGGTCCATTTAAAAAATTTTTGACAAATTCATTAACTTTTCTCATTTCTTATTTTTTAATCAAAACGATTGCATTGGTCATGGAATTATCTTTAAAATAAAATAATTGAAATAATGAAAAAAAATCGATGATTAAACGAACTCGTAAAAACACAGATGGACAACTAGCGATCAAATTATCATTTGGACTAAATTGAGGAGATTGAAATCCATTAATTGAAAATCGAAACAGCAATAAAGCAATGCATATCATTGAACATATCATTACTCGACGTATGCAATCACAATATTGTTGCTATAATATAAAATTTTGAAATTTTAAAATTAAAAAAAAAAATTGCAAAAAAAGAAAATTTGATCATTTTGATAGAAATTTAAAATTTCTCTTTTGAGTTGAAATTTTTCGGTGTTAATTAGGCGTATAATTGCTAGCATATTAAAATTTCGATTAAAATTAGAATGAAATATTGAAAGTATTTGGTTTCGTTTGGTTTAAATGTTATTATTTAATTAAGCTAATAATTAACCTTTCTAATAACTAATTTCTCAATTATTTTTTTCCAAGAAAGATTTAAAAATTTGTTTTTCGAACTTATGCAAAAACAAAACGAAAAAAAAAAAAAAGGAAATTGTTAATAATTTTTTTGTTTACCTCAAAATTGTTTACTTTTTAGCTTACACAAAAAAAAAAAACATACAAAAAAAGAGTTCGTTTATTTGAAAATATTCGCTAAATTTAAAATTTTCAAGTGGATAAAAAAATTTGGGCAAATATGAAAAATTAAAATATCATACAAATAATATTAATTAAATCATATATTTGCATGAAAGTTATCAAATATGATTTCCATCGAGAAAAATATCGGAAAACAATGAAAAATAATTAAGAAACAAATACATCGATAGAAATAAGGAAAGTTTTATCACACAAATTGTTTATTTAATTACTTCTTCTGTAATAGTAATATTTTTTATTAGAATTTTACTGCAATACTATTTAAAACTGAAATGTAATAACTTTAAAAGATGAAATAATTACTTTACAAAAAATTCATGTAAATATGTTAAAAATATTATAAACAGAAAGGTCATAGGTCAAGTTAAGTGGTTTCATATTAATTAATTATTATGCAATTAATGCAAAAAAAAAAAAAACATACAATTATATGTGCTGTACTCTTATCAATTTCATTATTACTTCCATCACTATTCATTCGTTTTCTAAATGCAATAAAGAATCGAATTGGTGAAATATTTGATGCGCAAATGTCAAATGTTGCACAAAGTGGCTGTAAAAAGTAATTTTTAATAAATTTTAAGAAATTTAATTTAATTTTTGAATAATATCAAAAAAAAAAGAAAAAAAAAGGATTAATTAAAAATTAAAAAATAAAATTTTATAACTGATAAAAACAAACCATAACAACAATTCCTTGTTCCTTACTAAACAATGCAATTGCGCTGAGTGATACAATCGTAAATTTTGATTTCATTGAAAATTCTGATTTACACCAACATTTGATGTATAAATGTAATGCAGTAAGTGTAAATAATGTCATTAATAATTCAGATCGACCTACTATACTTGCTACCTGCAAAAAATTTTTTTATTTTTTAATAAATTTTTTTAAAAAAAAAAACGAAAACGAAAACGAAAAATTTATTAATTTGTTTTTTTAACTTCTAAAAAATTATAATATGCTTTTTCTTTTTTCATTTTCACTTATTTCACGAAGAATTTGATTGTAAATTAAATCAGAGTAATGTAAATGACAAAAATTCCTAAAATAACTATTACTATTAATATTTGAAAAAAAAAAGAACGAAATACATTTATTTGAATGAAATTTTTGATGCCATAAAGTAATGGAAAAAAAAAAAAGTTTACAGAATTTGAAACTTATAAATTGAACATTTCCAGTCTTATTCAATCGATTTTATTTTTTTTATTTAAAATTAAAAAAACTATTTCAAATGTTATATCTTTTAATATTAATAAATTTAGAAAGAAAAATGAAAGAAATAAGAGGAAAAAAAAAAAACAAATATCTTTTCATTTAAATTAAAAAAACTATTTCAAATGTAAATTTTTTAGAAAAATAAATTTAGAAAGAAAAATGAAAGGAAAGAAATATCTTTTATCAATTAATAATAACTTACTGCTTCAGAATGTATTGGATGAATTGCAAATAACAATGAAACATGAAAAGCTATCCGATTGGGATATTTTTCATAAAATATTTTTGATAAGTTAATTAGTATTTTATAAAGTAATACACAAATAATTGCATGTAATGTGATATTAACAATATGATAAGTTGTAGTATGAAGACCTGATATTGCATAATTGATCCTGAAAAAGTAATTAATGATTGTACTTAGTTTGGATTAATTCAAAAATTTATTTATTTTTATTCAAAAATTTATTTATTATTATTATTCAAAAATTTATTTGTTATAACTTATTTATTTTATAAAAATTTATCAAAAAATTATTTAAAAATTTATTTATAAAAGTTGCTGTTAAAGTTTAAATTTAATAATTGACAGTTATGATATTGCATTCTAATTAAATATTCAAATATAAATATTTGAATTTAAAAAGAATTGATACAATTAAATAATGATATCCTTGTTCTTTTTTTTTTATTTAATTAATATTTATTCTTTAAAAAATTATTTCAATTTTTCATGGCAAATAATAAAGGAATGACAAATGTATAAGCTAAACAATAATTCTCGTAGCAAAATAATTTGTGCTTTGAAATTTTAAAATTTTAATAAAATCCAAATGTCATAGAAAAAGAAATGATGGCAAATGCAATAATGTCTTTAATGAAAATTTTTGGATTGACAATAAAATTGCGCAATTCCTCTTAAACAAATAAAAAAAAGAAGAAATGAAAGCCTTATGGTAAGATTATGGTAAGTATTACTCGTAATCCTTGCTAATTAAATATTTAAATTAATTTAATGCTCATCCAAATGATCGATTCTTAATCTAAAAATACTAAAAGTACTAAAATTAATTTACCGAAACAACTTTCTCTTTTTTTTTAAATATAAAATTTTACATCTTATAACAAAATTAGTATATAGTTTGTGCATTTTAATTAAATTAAAGAATTAAATGTAAATGGTTTGTAAACGAGAGAGAGAGAGAGAGAGAGAGAGAAGGAACAAAAAGATTTTTAATGAAGAAAAAAAAATTTAATTTATTTACTTTTAATGATTTTTAATGAAGAAAAAAAAATATTTAATTTATTTACTACAAAAAATATTTAATTTATTTACTACAATAATTAATTTCATACTTATTAATAATTTCTTTTTTTCCCTATTCAAATATTTTCAACTATTATCATATAATAATAATTTTTGATTGTTTGAAATTTCCAAATTCTTTTCTCTGCTTTATCCATCATCCAATAAAGTTCTTCAAGCTTACTTCCTTCTTTCATAACATTAATTTGCATAAATTGCACTTGTATGGCTAGTTATTTCATTTTATGGAACATAAATTTGCCCCAAACAACAAGCAAATTCACTCGATGACCCTTAGGCTAGTACTAGGCACTTATAATTACATCAATCATTTTCACACCACACAAAAGTATTCATGAATAACCTGTCTTGTAATCAAATTATTTTATAAATCCATTTAAATGCTCATCAACTATTACTTAAATTTAGTCTAAGTAATAGCTGCAGTAAGATTAAGTAATGCATATAAGTGGTAGAGTAAGAAATTTATTAAGTTAACATTTAAAAGTTAAATTTGCAGAGAACTTCTTTCTTCAAGAGAAAACGAATAAAAGAGGAAAAAGAGAGAGAGAGAGAGAGAGAGAGAGAAAATTCAATGGTACCATTCTATTCAAATGAGAAAATCATTTATTATAAAGTAGCTAAGTGTCAATGCATATTATCAATGTTTGAGATTTAAAAAAAAAAAAAAAGTGAGATTTGAGATTTAAAAAAAAAAAGCAAAAAAAAAAATTAGACTAAAAGCTTAATAATTGATCTGTGCCCTTTTAGGATGATATTGCATTAAAAACAGTACTTTAAGGCTATTTCATCTCTTGTGATGAACATCTGGCTCATCCGATATTCAAGTATTCTAGGACATCTGACCACTTCTCAGGAATGAGTAATATTTATAGCAAATAATTATTACTCTAAGCATAATTTATTAATTATTTATTTACAATGCAAATTTTTCAATTTTGAAGTGTTAACTAACTGTACGATCAATTTCTTTGCTCCTCTATCAATTTATTTAATTCAAATTAATTTTCAACTAAGTAATTAATCTATTAATTAAATTATAAAAATATTTAAATTAAAAATGAAATGTTTTTCTTTCTATCGTTTTTATTTTTGTTAAAAAATTGAAAAAAAAAAACCACAAAAAATACTGAACAATTTTGAGAAAAAAAAACAATAATTGAATTCAAAAAAAAAAAAAGTTAACAATAATAGTTAGAAATTTATTTTAACGTTTGTCCAATCTAACCTTCTTTTTAGTTAAGCAATCAATTTCAAAGAAGAAAGAAAAATTTATGATTTAAAAAAAAACGATGAAAAAACATTGTGTTGTTATTCGAAGCGAAAAATTAAATGTATTATTGGAAATTGTTGATGAATCATTTCATCAGTAATAGGAAACGTAATCTAAAAAAAAATTTTATTTTTGTACGCAACATAAATGAATTTGAAATAAAACAGCTCTGATTAAAATTATGGAAAGAAATTTAAGTGAGATGATAAAATATATATATATATTTTGAAAATTATAAGTAATACTAAAAGAAAAAGAAGAGAAGATTTCTTTTGAAAATAATAAGTATATTTGAAAAAATATATATATGAAATATTTGAGAATAATAAATAATAATCAAAGAAAAAAAATGATTTAAAAAAAGATATATATTTGAAAAGAATAAGTAATAATGAAAGGAAGAAAAAGACTTACGCAAAAGTAATAGTAGTAACCGGACGATATGACTTATGACTGCGTGTTGATCGTATCGGATAACCCCAAAAATCACTTTCCAAAATTTTTCCAATTTGTCGAATAGCTTTATTATTGATGATAGCTTCTCGATCATCAAATACAAAATTACCATTTATATTACCACTAAAACTTAAAATTGCTGCTACCGTAATAATTGTCAAATGAAAGTATGCAGCTAACTCGTCATACTGTCGTGTTACGGTCAATCGTTGACCGAATTGTTGTAATTTCCGTGAATTGCTTTTCCATTTCATACTAATATCTTTCTGAAAAAGAGAGAGAGAGTGAGAGAAAAAAATATAATTCAAACGAGTATATATGAATTTAATATTATTATTACATAATTAATTTGTATAATAACTAAATGACATTTATTTACATTTCATATATTATTTGAAATTATTTTAACTCATATCAGTGTTTATCTGAAATTATTTTAACTCATATCAGTGTTTATCTGAAATTATTTTAACTCATATCAGTGTTTATCTAAAATTATTTTAACTCATATCAGTGTTTATCTAAAATTATTTTAACTCATATCAGTGTTTATCTAAAATTATTTTAACTCATATCAGTGTTTATCTGAAATTATCTCATATATATGTACTCAATGAGCACAGAAAATTTATATGGTCGCTAAAAATTGTTAAAAAAATTAATATAAATCAGCAATTTTCTAAAAATTAATACAAAAATTATTTAAAATCAAAAAAGAAAAAAAGTTGTTAATAATAAATATATTTAAAAAGAAGAAAACCGACAAAGCATTCTAACATTAAATATCAAAAAAAAAATTTTTTTCAAAATTCAAAGATATTGAATTTTTTAAGAATTTTAATTCAGACATTTTGAATATTTTAAAAATTTTAATTCCACTGGGAAAGAGAAGGTTTGAAAGGTTCCTTATTCGCAATTATTGCATAAATTTAGGTTTTAGGATGGATGAATTGAACTATAAGTGGTTGGCCTAAGTAAAGCATAAGCATATTAGTAGCATCAATATGGCCAACCTCTTCCTGTCTTTTTTCAAAAGCAGCCAACAAACAATCAAAATTGATATTGGCCACTTGTAAATGATGGGCACATATTCTCAATATGGCCAAACCATTGTATTCAAATCAAAATTAATTCTCAAGAAATGGTTGCAAGTTTAATTTCAAATAAAAATAATTTTGTAAATTAAAAATTGTCAAACATTTTAAATACTTTTAGTTTTGTTTTAAATAAATTTCATAGAAAGCAAACAATCAACAATTTAATTTGCTAAAAATTTGTAAAAATTCAAAATTGTTTAATAAATTATTCATTAATTTCTTTAAAATATTTCAACAATTTTTCAAAGCAAAAATCAAATATAATTTTGTCAAAAAGTAAAAGAATTATGCCTAAAAAAAATAAATTCTTCCAACAGTCTAAGAAAAGAACAATAATAAATAAAATATATGCATGCACAGAGGTAAAAGATAAAATTTCGGAAGCAAAGTGACACAGATGAAACTTTTGAAGGACATTCCCTGATCGTTGACAAAAGTAATAAAATTCATTGATGAAAAGCGCATACTGCTAGTGTTCCTATACAATTGGTCATTTTCTCGAACAAATGCTATTGTGACTAAGGCAATTTACCCAGAGATTTGACACTGTTGTCAATCAATTTATTTACCTATTCTCATGGGGAAATGAATTGAAATTTTATGAAATATTATTGAATTGACCATTGTCTCCATTATTGATTTTAGAAATACTACAAAAGTATTAATCTATTTTTTATTGTATTCATAGTTTCATTCTAAAATTTTATGCAATTTAAATAATAGACAATTTGCATCAAATTTTACTCATTTATTGAAGATAAATGAAACAATTAACATTTCATAAAAAAAGAACAAAATAAATGATATAAATTAATGAGTGGAATAATTATTGAAACAATTCTGGGACGAACTAAAATTCCAATTCTAGAATGGATTACAATTCTAGGATGACCTGCAATCCAAAATGAATTATAATTTTAAGACGAAGTATAATTCTTGGATGAAGTAAACTAAATTTACTGACCATTAATCGATTGCTTAGACAGAAGATAAATGGCTAAAAGGAAGAAAATTGAAGTTAATACAACATTTTAATTTAATTTGGCATTTAAGATAACATTGTGATCGGTTTTTATTAAAAGTAAAATACGGAAGAAAGAAAAAAAAAGGAATTTTGGGCTAAAATATTAAATTAAATTTTCTTCTTTTTAGCTACCTATTCATATTTACTTGACAATAAAATAGCTATTGGATTTCGCCAATAAATTGAATCAATTTTTTCTCGTTTTTCGATATGCATTTAGCATTTATTCACAGAGAAGATTCAATGAATGTGAGAGAAAAAAAAATGAAATAATAAAATTATATTTCCTTTTTATCTTTTAAATCTTAAAACTTTAATTTAACATTGATTTTTTTGTTGCAAATTATTAAAAGGAGAAATTTCTTTTTTGTTTTGAAATAGGAATGAAACTTTAATGTTTTTGCTTGCTATCTTATTTAAATATGATTTAAAATTATTTCTAATTCTATTTTAAAATTTTAAATTTTTATTTTAGTATTTTGAAATATTCTCACATATTGTTTTAATTTAGTAAAATGCATGAATTAAATGTTAAATAGAGAAAAAAAAAGAAATAAAATTTAAGAATGGAAAAAGAGTGAAAGCCTCTATAAATGATATTGAAATTATATAGTGGACAGAGTGGACGGACATATGTGGTCATTGTTAAGCAACAGACAAATGGACATAGACACACTGAGCACATACACCACACACATACACATAATTATGACAGGTAAATATCCGTAAATTAAAAATCGGCAAATGTTTGCTTAATCTAAAAATTATAGATTGTGATGAGCATAAGGTAATTAATGAGAAATGAATCAGTGAAGTGCTATATTCATTATTAAAATTTGATAAGCTGTTGCCTTAAAAAGCAATTTTAGAAATGATTTTTTTAATGAAAATGAACAAATCTTCATAATAAATTTCACAGATTTTATTTCAAAACAAATAATTTTAAAATTTTTAATAATTTAAAATTCAATAATAGCAATTATTCATTTTATATTTTGTTTTATAAAAAAAATTTCAAATATTTCTTATTTAGTTTTTATTCATTTTAATTTGTTAAAAATACTTTACTATATTTTTTATCTCTATTAAATAGCGTAATGATTAAATTAAAAAAAAAAAAACGTGGAATAAGTTACGTATAAATTAATTAAAACAAATAGAAACAAATTTTGGAACTTTTTGTCTTTAATTATTTTTTTTTTAAATTAATTATTTCTTTGATAGCAATTTATACGTGAATTGATTTTAGGAGGAAAATTAGATTATTTAATTCAAAAATGCTTTTTTGAGGAAAATAAACGTTGGGTTTTTTAAATAAGTTTAATTATTATGTTTCTTAATATTTAACAAAAAAAAAAATAAATCAAAAATTTGAATTGGAGTTAAAAAAGTTAAAGTTAAAAAGGAAGTGAAGGAAAAAATTATAAAGTTACAAGTTAAATATCAATGTTATTTCATTTTCTCAGAATTATTTTTTTATCTTTTATTTAATTTCTTACACACAAAATAGCTAATAGAAATGAAAGGAAGTAACGTAGATCAAATTTATAAAATTTTCATACTTTATTTTTTATTTTTAAAAATTATATAATGATGTCATTCTTTCTCAAATGATTTCAATACTTTATATGACTTATATTTAAACTTTTTATGTGTTCTCGAATGCTTTCAGATGTTTTACGTGTCCTTGAATGCTTTCAGATGTTTTACGTGTTCTTGAATGCTTTCAGACGTTTTATGTGTTCTTGAATGCTTTCAGATGCTTTACGTGTCCTTGAATGCTTTCAGGTGTTTTACGTGTTCTCGAATGCTTTTAGATGTTTTACGTGTTCTTGAATGCTTTCAGACGTTTTACGTGTTCTTGAATGCTTTCAGATGCTTTACGTGTTCTGGAATGCTTTCAGATGCTTTACGTATTCTCGAATGCTTTTAGATGTTTCATTACATTTTCCGGATGTCTTCTCGTTTTAAATATTAGAGTGTAACGTTGAAAGGTTTAAGTTTGAAGAGTACGTTTAATTGATTAATTAACTTTGACACATTTCATCTAATTCTCGACTATGCTAAATTACTTCATATGACTTATCAACTCCCATAGCTTAGCTATTTGTATGAAATGCTATTCTTCATTATGTATTTCTTCTCTTCACAATTTACTGAAAAGCAAAATTTTGTTTCAAGTTAAAAAAAAAAAAAAGACTAGATGTGACCTTTGAACTTTACAAGTTAATCTAATTTGATGTAATTCTCGTTTTACAAATATGCTTGGTGAAGTTTTCATATCCAATTTTTACTAAAATTGGTTTATTTATTTTTGATAGAACTAAAATTAATTAAACATGCATTCGTCATCCGTTTGCTTATTTATTTAATTTAATTTAATTAGTTAAATTGTTGACAATTAATTTACACTTCGAAAATTTTGTGTTAAATATGCAAAAGTTATGTGGAAATAATATTTTCATATGAGATTTGTTCTATTAAATAAATTTTTGCTTAAAAAATTGAAACTTTTGTTTTAATTATGAATTAACCAACTGCTGGGAGTATTATTTTTGAAATTTGAAAAAAGATTTAAACATCTGTAAGCACTATTGACTCATCCATGATTATCAGCTTATCACTGTTCAATCATTTGTTTGTTTATTCTTCCTTTCTTTTCATAACTTTTTAATAATTTCCCACAGGTTAACTACGTCCTTGTCACACTGTCATATTTCAAATTTGACATTCAAAAGAAATATCAGATAACACAATGATAATCGATTACTTTCCGAATTATTGAAAATGTATGAGTGATTTAATTAGCCAAGAATAACAATCCACGTGTTTTACGAGTATTCGTTGAGACGTTTCGTAAAGTTACGTATTTAACCTCCAAATCTCTCAGCTGATCGATCATTAGTCAATCTTTAATTATTGGTTATAATTTATTCAATCAGTTAGATTATCAGTAAATACACATATGAAAATTTCTAAAACCTTACTTGTAAATGCTAATCAACATTTCAAATATTACCCAATTTCTATTGTTTAAAATGCATTATTCATTTACCCATCATTTCAGGTACAGTTACCCGTTAACTAAGAAAAAAAAATTTTTTTTTTTCAAACAAAGAAGTTGCTTCCATTT